TACTCTGAAGAATAATTACCTAACGTCGGAAGGGCCAAATGAATAAAAAGCTAATATTTAATGTAGCACTTTCCAGTAATTACAGTTTGCTTAGGCAGAAAAGCTCGTGGTCCCTTTGTAATGAAGAAAAGTATTAAAAAACTGATAGGCCTATTTCCATTTCGTTTCTTTGCTGAAGAACAGTATTGTCTGACTTCATTTGGCTTAGGAATAGCGTGTATTAGAATGAGCCAGCACACTGAAAAGATACATAGGTAAATATTAAACTTATTTCCTTAATAGTAATTTTTGTCAAGCATTAGTTTGAATTTGTTTATAAAATTTAGAATTTATAACAACTCTGAAGCTTTCATTTTTGGAACTTTTCAAGCTTTGAATTATCCAAAGGTGGAATATCTACAAATGTCTATTAACCTCAATTAAAAAAAGAAAGAATGGTACCAGTTCAAATAAGGGTTAGATATGAATGTCAAAACAGACTTGTCATATCCTATTCCTGCATCTTATCATCTAATAAGAAATATTTTATTGTGAGTGTTAATTCTATTATGGTCTCTTTCAGTTCTTTTGAAGACTTAAATTTCCAAACTCAGTGGAATCTTGATACAGAATGTAAATGGCCATTATTCATACTTGCAATATGCTAACTGCTTATGCCATCGCTATTCAAAAGCTCTTTTGTCAGTTTTTTCTCTTTTTCTGTATTGTTGGTCTGCAAGTACAAGTTCCTATAGAAGCTTTCTTCAGCCCTGCCAAGGAGCTTTACAACAGAGCCTCTGTCGTACTCCGTATGGAGGCACTGGAGCCTTTACTGCTTCTCCTCATCTTTTGATTTGCAGATTTGAAAACCAGAGAGGATCATTATTATTCCTTGATTTTTTACTTCCTGTAGTGTTCAGTGGTCATAGACTGACCTGAAGTAAGCCAAATAGCTCGCCTGGAACTGATGCAAGCCTTTTTGAATATGTTGCTCTCATGATATAAAACTTCTAACATGATGATAGAAACTGTCCTCTCCCTTGGTAAGTTCTTCCAGTACTTAGCCTGAAAGCTTTAAAAATTGGTAGTATCTTGACCTTCTGAATTTGTCTGTGGATTTTCTTTTTCTTTTGACTTCCTAGTTTTGTTTTGGAATCTGGAGCTGCTTGTATGATCATCACTTTCAAATTTTTCTGTGTATTGAGCTCCCTTACTCAGTTGCTGAGAGGACCTCAAATCATACTTGCAATTTTTCTCAGAACATCTTTTCTGTATGGTGTTTGTAGTGGTTTTATTTATTTTTTCTTCTCATTTTATTTACTTGCTCTATTTGCCAACATTGTCATCAAGTACATGTATATCTCAACCACCAATCTAGAGATCTTAATTTCCAGTATGACGTCCTTTTCAAACTCGATAGTGTGGTGCCTGCCAGCATGACCTATTTTTTTTTTTACTAGAATTAATCTTTGACTGAAAAATTTCAGGAGCTGTGAAGAAAATTTCTTGTACATCTTTCTTGAAACCCATTTTATTTATTCTTAGTGTTCTTATGCTATAATGCTGCATTTTTTTATATAAATGCAGCAGTAATTTATAAAGAGAAAAAAATATTGGAAAGTAAGAAAGGGTGGGGTGGAGCAAGGGGAAAAACTCAGTGGAAAGTTTTTAATCAAGGAAATTCCTAAGATTTGCAAAGTAGTGCCAGCTATCACTTGTCTTCCAAGAGAAAGTTGTTTGCTGTTCTTTCCTGTTCAGTTTTCTACATAATGAAAATTTAGATCGAGGAAGATTGGTTTTAGTGGGAGGAGTCACTTTTAGTGAGCACTAGACATACCTGTGCCTTTGCTTCATTTACTGCATCTAGGATCATGCTTTCCTTTCCCAAAAAGTCAAATCTTATTCCGAGGTCTAAACTAATGACAATACGGTAAGTAGAAGTAGCAGATTTGGTGCATAAGCTTGAGGAACGCCCCATCTAGTGGATGACCACAACTCACTCGCTTGTTGTTCAGGCTCAAATAGGAGCCTAAGATCAAACTGAAAATACCTTGATTACAGCATCTCACTTTGCATTTGCTTTTATGTCAACAACACCATATGTCAAAGCTGCGTAGCTATTCCTTTTAATGTTTCTATCATCAGCATGTCTGATAAGTGGGAATTTTTCAGCCTCCTGTTAAATTTTCCTATTTTTGTTCCCTCGTGTAGTTAACTTCTTCAAAGTAAATGTAACTTGAAAAGACAGAAGAGATGCAAGCATAGTGGGAAATCCCATGTAAAATGTACCTGTGAAAATTTGTATGTGATGCATATGGATAAAATAAGACTGAATAGCAAGCAGCAAGTTTTTAATGTCTTATTAATGTGCTTATTTGTGGCAAAATAAATAAGGTTTTAGATAAAGAAACACACACCGTCTCCTCATTTAAAGGACAAAGGAAAGGCCCTTAAAGATATGTATACAGCCCTGCTTAAGGCAAAATATATTGGGATGCTGTAAATCCAGATGTCCCTTGATATGATACCATTTCTTTTTGCACCTGAGAAGAATGCAGAAGAAAATTTTTAGACCCAGATGTTTGGACATATTTGGCAGGAAATGCCAAAATAACTGAATAAATGTTCTGACTTGGGAAACTCATTGTAAATTATGATAATTGAAATCAAAATTGGATTTTCCAGATTACCAAAGGAAGGAGGTGCCTCAACCCAAGAATTTGCTATGCAGGGAGAAAAAAATACTTCTTCATTATAACAAGACCGGCCTTGTGCAAAAAGAGATGTGGTGAACTTCTTTAAAGCAGGACAGCAAAAGGGAGTGGAAATCTGTTTTGTTGCATCTGAAAGACACTTCCATGTGCTCTTCAAGACAGACAGGGGATAAAGCTTTACCTTTCTGTGAACATAAATTGTGAACTGGAATAAGCGGGGATGAGATAGTTTGTCAGTCTGGCAGGTTAGTCCTACTCCCTACAGTGCCCACGTACATCCTCATGCGGCCGAGGAAAATTTGCTAGAAGAGAATATTAACCAGTGCTCCACTCTTGTTTCCTTTGTTCCTTTAAAGTAGCATTGCTTATCTTGGAGTTGGTAATTGAGTTGTAGATAACGAGATTTTTATCCAAATATACCTCTTTCTCACTGGAAGAGGTCTAGATAATCTTTTATTTCATCTTATGCATTATATATCTAGACATCAGATTATATATCTATTCCATCATCCTGAGGAATTCCAATCTTTTGCAGAGACTTAAACCTACAGGTTGTCCAAGTAATAAAATATCATCAAAACTGACATCTACAGAAGTCTGCAAAATTCTACTTTGGAAATTAGCAAAAAGAGGAGGAGGCAGGGACAAGAAACTTTCATCCATAATTCTCTGGCTTTACCAGAAGTAATTTGCTTACTAAATGTCAAGACAGTAAAGCAGAACTGTTTCAAGTAGGTTGAACTCTTACTTTAATTTCAGGGCTCAGATGTAGCATGTAAATTGGTGTGATTTATTAAGGACGTGCCAAGTGTTACAACATTATCTGGTTCTGAATATTGAGTTTGAAATTGTTGTTGTTGTTGGAGGTAGTTGAGGATAACTAGTAGATTCTTTTTTTCTTCTCCTAACTCCTACTGCTGCCTTTGTAAACCTTAACATTTCCATAAATACAACTCTCATGAAGTGCAGGTGCAGGATTTGTTATGGAGTGCAAATGTAAAGTGTTGCCCATTTTTTTGCTATATGATGCAAGAGTATGAAAGCAAATATGTTATATTTTAAAATATCACTGGTGAAGTTTTGTATCAATTACGTAATAGTTGTTTACGTATTAAAATATATTTTCCTAATAGAGACATCAATTTCTGAAGTTGGTAGTTGTATAAATAGGCTGAAATGGGTTATTCTGAGGTGCCCCCACAAAATATAACCTTGGTTCATCTGATATGCTCACATTGCTCACTCTGTACAGTCAAAGTACATTTTACTGAGTTTCCAGACAGAACACTGAAATTATCAATTTTTGTATCCGAATATCAGCCTTATTTTTTCCTCTTCTTAGAGATATAATTAATTCTTTTTTAATAAAGCCATTTTGTAGATCAGAGATGTTCTGTGTCACCGATCATATGAATTACATGGAACAACTCACTAATATTTTACTAAATATATTAAATTACAACAGTATAATGTCCCATTTCTACAAAAAGCTCAAATGGAGCAATATTAAAATCTAAAGCATTTGGCTTTGCATTTCCTCTTTGGCTTTGTTATGCTTCTATTAACAGGATTTTTATATTTTTATGGGTAAGGTCTGGGGTAGAGTTCATTTTTCTGTGGCTGAAATAGGGTAGCAATGACTTAGGGAAGTCTGAAGAAATGAGTGTCTTTCTGTCATCTTGCTTTTTGAACAGGCTTTTTACTGTTCAGGCTTCATATTTTCGTATCCTGGTGTCAATATTTTTTGTTTTTGTCTTTTAACAAATGTCTTGTCAGTCGTTCGTGGGTGTGTGGATGTGGTTTGTTCTACTGGTGCTAAGTTCCTTAGAGTAGCTTATGCAGTCAGGTAGAAAAAGGAGTAAATCTTACTAGTCTTAATGTATATTGTTTGCTAGATCAAAACAACAGTCATAACAATTCCTGCCAGAGTTGTTCTGAAACTCTTGCTAGAACAAAAAAATTCAGTTACATCTTCACTATTAAGAAAAGGTAAAATGGTGAAAAGCTTGAAGTTATATTTTTGCAAAGCAATAATTTCAAGTTTTGATTTTTAGGTCAGATGTCATATAGTTCTTTTGTTTTGTCCTAATCTTTGTCTTAATCTTGAAGTCCCAAGGCAGGGCTAAAATCCTGTTTTGTTCATCCTATTCTGTTTAATTTAAACTGTCTTTCCAGTGAATTGTTACTTGGTAAGTTAAAAGGGATGGCAGCGTAAGCCACGTCCCTTGTGATCTTGGAGTTTTTGAGAGGAAGAGTGTGTAAGAGAACTGGTAAAAATATTGAATACTTCTTTTAAACTTTATGCAGGCACACATCTATTCCTTGGGTGCAACCTTGAAAGCAGCAATTGAATATGTGTTAGAACCTGGGACAGAATCAGAGTTTGGACAAGATCTGCATGCCCTCCTTGAACAAATGCAAGAAGAGAATCCTGAAGATAGGCCAGATATTGAGGTAAAATGACAAAATTTGTGGATGTGTGCTCGTTAGCAGAGAAATATGCTCTGTGTGTGTAACATGCTCCAATTTTGGAACCAAAGTGAAGTATTTGCTGATTCAGCCAATACTTTTTTGACTTCCTAATCTGGCAATGCAACCTGAAATGCAGATGTAAATGCTTTATGGTAATTCCTTTTTTAAGAAGATTGTGTAAATACCCCTCTGGATCTGATTTGTGTTTATAAATATTAAATGAGAAGAATCATTTAGGAGAGGGAGAAAAAGGGGGAAGGAGAGAGAGAGAAAGAAAGAAAGAGACAGGGACAGCACAAAAGGCTCTATGCAATGAAAAAAATAATGTGTAATGGGTCAGATGATGCTTGGATTGAATTCAAAAAGGGGATGGGCAGAGCAACTAATAGCACAAAAACACATAGACCTATGCAAGGGTTTTGCTGGCTCCATCACAGCTGGATATCTGTATCCCTTTTTTCCTCTGTCTTTCCTCAGTCAGATATGTTAACCAGCAGAGCCATTTTCTTCCACTCACAAGAGCAGAAGAATGGTTAAATGGCTTTAATGGGGACATAAGAGCAGCTTCTCAGAGCTGTGTAAGGACTTTTGTCAGTGTTTGCCTAGGAACAGTCACCAGGGAAGCAGTGGGATGCATGTGGAAAGAGACCCTCCTACTTCTATCAGCCCCTGCTGATAGTTTTTAAGTGTACGAATGTCAGTAGCTAACACTCCGTTGACACTGCTGCTTATCAAATGATGCCTAGGCTACAGAATAGAGATGTTCGTATACTACCATTTCTTTTGACCTGGTAACTGTGTTTTCTTTAATATGGAATGATCAATAGATAGCTTTATTTCTCAGTTTTAAAACGATTCAGAATTTGCTTCTGTTGTAATACTGGTAATAAAAAAAAAAATTCTTCATACTGCCTATGTCCCTGGATTTAAGTGAATCACCATCCGTTTAAAAAATAATCCACACTCTAGCTTTTTACATTTCCACTAAGTTTTTTGTTAAGGATAATATTTAAGATGATTAATTTTTATTGGTTATTCTTAATATTTCCTAACTGTAGGCTAGAACCTGAACTGTATAAAATAATTACGTAACGTTCCATGATAAAAATAAGAATGCAGCTGCATAGTAGGATAATGAACAGCGCAAGAGACCTTTAATGTAACATCTTATTTATAAATTCAGATGTATTGTGTGATTCAAGTTACTAAAAATTATTAATTTTTATCAGCATTAAGTATTTAACACTAATTTTCTCTAGAGCATTTTGTCATTATGTGAAGAAAAATTGAAGATTGCTTCATCAAGTAATATTTGTCGAAGTCTATCTGCTGTTGGAAGAAGGGTTCTTTCAATTGAATCATTTGGTGCTTCTCAAGGTAAGCTTAAAATATGTTTAGAATTTTTAAGCTTTCTGAAATAGCTAATGGTTTTTAAAATGTTATATTTTTGTGTACTTCTCTGTTAGAGGGTCTTTTCTGGATATCCAAAAGTCATTACTAAATATCTGTGGGTTTGGAATGGCAGGGAGGAAGAGACAATGCAAAACTCTCAATTGAGCGTAATATATTTTTAATAAATATCTATTTTAACTTATTTTGACTATCTCTGTAGACTATCCTTTATAATTAAAAGCGAGTGTTCCCACCCTTTTTGTAACATATGAAAGTAGTGGCAGAAAAAGAACTATAGAGACTCACTAGAAAAGATGAGAAGGTTTTAATATGTATTTAATGTAAGCGCCTGTTCTTTGCATCTAGATGGCTGTGATAACATGTGGAAGGGAAGAGTGTATCAAAGAAGTTTGGGATCTAAATTATATTCAGATGAGAAAAACACCATAGCGAGTGATTGCTCTGCAGTAGAAGATGTGACAACTACCTGTCACAAGGACTCTTCAGTAGTTGCTGTGGAGACTGACAGAGAAAGTGGATTAACGGAAATGCAGATTGATCTGGATAATGAGAAACCTCAACATTCGCAACTTGCAACTCAAGTTAAAAAGAGCAAAGAGGAGGATAAGCATGCAGTATGTAATGACAGTTTTGCTAGTGTTGCTCTGGATATAAAATCATGTGTTACCGACATGGAGCGAGATGGCATTTTTAGGAAAGGTTCTCTGAGAAAAATTAAGACCTTTCCAAAGCTACCACTTGAAGCTTCAGATACAAGCCCTTTTTTTCCATCTGCAACCAACAGTGGACTGCTAGGTAGGAAAAATCACTTGCTTGCACAAGAACTGCTACCTCTAGACAATAACAATGAGGTTGCCTTTTCAAAGGGAAATCTTAATTCATTTGCTATTAGTAATCCACCAAAAGTAGAACCAAAGAATCACCAGGTTAATGATCGTCATTTAGAAGCTCCTTGTGTGTGTACACAGGTCTCTGGCATGAACTTGGAAGAACACTTGTCACTTCTTGAAAGAAAAGCTGTATTTTTACCGTTATCTGATCACAAAGAAGTCTGTTCTGATGCTACCTCTGAAATGCCATATAGGGCTGCTGTGCTAAACAGCCCTAAGCAACCCACTGCTGGAACAAACATGTTAGACAATTACACGGCACTGGAAGACGGCACTGAAACTTCTCAAGGGCCAAATGAAAATTCTTCAAGACATTTGAACAAGGTGGATGCAGTGTTAACAACAAAACCCCCTGGGAACAGATATGGATCAAATCTAATTAGTTCTCCAGAATTAAGCAACAGCGTGATGGGCGCAAACAATAACGAAGATAATCTTTGTGGAGGCAGAGGGTCAGAAATCAAAAGTAAAGAGCAGGTAGTAAAAATAAAGTCTTCATTATATAGTTGCTGTAGTCATCTATGCGGAGAGGAAATGACTTAAGTACTGCGTGATTGTTTCCCCCAGCCCCAGCAATATTATGTGCCGCAGAACAGAGTTTTGCTATTCCACACACTTTTGAGTTCACACTGGAAATATGATCATCCGTTTTTCTCTTTAAAAGTAATCTATCCTATTGCAAAATCAACATCCATTTTAATTTTTAATGAAGCATACTGGAGTGCACTCACTAGTGTGTTAGTGTAGCATAATTAATAATTAATTGCATTTGTAAGAATGCCTTACCAAAGGATATGTAGATTTGACTCTATGTTGCTGTCAATACGTCAAGTTCAATACTTTGCAGTAGGCTGCCCAGGTGCTTATGAAAATCATAAGATTTCTGGGTGTAAACCTGACCTTTTTCCAATCAATGGCAGTATCCCATCAGCTTCAGGAGGGGAAAAGATTCCACTTTTTTAATCTACATATGCATTTAGAATTTGGGGAACTGTACACAAGCTCTGTCTATCCTGTGTTCTTAAATAACTGCTTCTGTGAGTTCTGTGTATATTTCATGATCAAAATCAAATATGTGCACAAGATGATGGATATGTTTCAAACATTTCAACTCTAACAGCCAAATAAGAAAAGGGAAAGCTGCTGTTTTGTTTTGTCTGCTAGAATTCAGTGATAGCTGGTGTAGTGTGGTCTCTGCTCAGATTACAGATTCTCAGGGTGGACAAGTTTGGTCCTCTGACTAGATGGTTTTCTCTCATGCCACACTTGGAGAGATATAAGCAATCCATGTAGTAGGAGAACTGATGGTTAAAAATGCAGGGTGCCTGATGCTCATCTAGCTGTGCTGTGGCTTGGAAGGAATGAGCAGCACAAGCATTCAGTGCACACTTCATTTCCAGAAATGATGCTTAGGTAAAGACTTTTTCCAAAGCTGTGTCTGCTGACAGCTCTGTTCTCCTTGCCCAGCAGCTTGTCCTTCAGTCATCCAGTGCAGTGGCCTGTAGGGTTATTTTCAGTCTATGTCCTATCCTAGTTCCACCCTGCTCTGACACCTCCACTGGAGTAGTAAACAGTAATAGTCGAGTGTGTCAGGAGCTGTGACTGTGATTACTATGGCATCCATTTCTTAGCTGTAATGAAGAACTGTTCTTACTGCCTTTTCATCTTTCCCTTTCTTCGCCTCCAAATATCATCTGTACTTATCAAATTCATAATGCAGGAGGGTAGTAAATATGGATCAGGACTTTATGGCATGGCTTTTTGGTCTCGGAGTTGCTCGCTGAATGCATTCAAACGTGTATTTATTTCTTTGACTCTTAAATCCTGTAGTTTTTTTCTTCAGGTTCTAGAAAGGAATCTCCTGTTGTAGGCACTTTTTTCCTGTCTCTCCTCCTGCTCCAGGCTATGCAGCCCTATGTTCTTCAGAAGGGAATGAAACAGGATCACGAGCTCTAAAATCATTCCTAAATTTTGTGCTTCTGCTATGTCATTTGTGCCTCTGGACTTCCATGATTCTGCTTTATTTTGTAGAGGTGCTTGTATTTCTAACAAGGATCATGGCAGCTTCTCAACCATTGACCTCCTGTGAGAAAGTTTGTTATGTCTTAGAGCTGTTGCTGTCACTCGAATAATATCTGCAGTCTTTCATGTGTGTTATGTCACAAAATTCCTTTCCTCAAAGGATTCAAAGGATTCTGTTGTTGTTTTTATGCAGAGGTTTATAAATCTGAAAATAATTGCATGCAATTTCTCAGGGAGAGGGTGACTGAAATAATTCTAGCTATCGGATCCCTATAAAGCCATGCAGTTCCTGGGTTTATTTTGGGATTTTTATTTTGTTTTCCCCTTCCTCCCTTCTTTCCCCCATGGAATAAAGACACTATGTGTCAGTCCCCTGTCTCACCCAGACTTACCTCAGGCTCTGTTTAACTAGAGAAGTGTGTGTAGTAAATAGGCTACCATCACTTAACAATATGAATTGAGTGCATTGAGAAGTGCTCCTTTAGGAAAGATGTCTGTTGAATTAAGGCCTATATTTTGTCCTCAGTGGACTGTGAGGATCATGTTTTAAGTCTGTCTGGGTACCTAAAGATGCTTTCAAGAAATAAAGCTTTCTCAAAATTGGCATACAGAAAACTTGCTCAAAATACGTTTTAAGGTTAGTCTGCCATTCTTCTGAATGTCGAAATGCTTCTTTTCTTCAAACATCTTATCAATTTTAAATAGAATGGTCTACAGCCTGAACAGAGCTTCATTCTTCCAGATAAGTAGGTCTTAATAGAAGTGAGGTTAACCAGCTCTGCCTAGGTCATTGGCCAATCACAGTAAATTTTAAAAAGGTAACTGTTATTCCAGCTATCTAAAAAGCAGACTAGCTAATTTGGTCTGAAATTAAAACAGTAAGGTACCTGATGTCCAAGAAACCAGAGGTTTATAAAACTGTTTTCAGTAGAAAAAAAAGGCTTTATAGAATCAATCTCCGTTTCTGATAATAATAGCAAATGTTCAGGTTGTGCTACATAAACAATTCCTACAGAGCATAATATTTTTAAATCCTCTATGTTGCAGCTATCCAGGAGAGTGGTGTGTTTGGAGATTTTTTGTTTAACTGGGTAGAAAGATAAAAGCATTTAAGTATATCAACTTATATCAACTTTTGTAAGCAAGACCTATAGTGATATGGGTGATTCTACTGCAAGTCTTCTCCTTAGCAAAAGGGGATGGCAGAGGGGTGAAGAAGCTTTTCATTTTCTTTTTTTTTTTCTTTTTTTTTCCTTTTTTTTTTTCCTCCTCCTTTCTCTCTGTTAGAAGCCAGATTTTATTCCTCAACTTTCTGGGACCTGGCTCTTTCTGCCTCTGTCTTACCTCCTGATCGTTGCAAGAATAAAACCGTACTGCGATATCCTTTGGTTCCAAATTTTACAGCTGTTTTCTCTCTACCATTTCTAGTTCTCTTCCATTTCCAAATGTCAAGTTTTAACAAATACCTAAACATATTTGAGTTTAAGAAACCAGTAAGTGAGTCTGAGAGTTTCTTAGCTGCAAAGGGACAAAATGTCTCTTCAATCCCTGGGCTAAATGTTTAACACCTCATAAAGGGATGCTCTTTTACCAGTTCTCTGTAATAGAAGAACATGATTACTGCAAACAGAGCTTTTGAATTATAGTATCTCTAGCATCTCTCATAAGTATTGCTTGTCCTTTAGAGAGAGTGCAATACAAGTCCCATCCAGCCAAAGATCAACCTTGTCTACTCTGGAGAATAAATGTTTTTTCTTACCTGTCAGTCATACTTCTCCAGTGGACAATATTTTTCTAATACCCCAAAACTGCTTCGTAATGTTGTGTGCTTTACTGCTAATAGGCATTACTAAAAATACTTGCTTGCTGTTGTCTTGCTACTGCAATGTATCTTGTGAGGGTTTTCTTAGCATTTTTATAGTTTTGCATGCCATGAATAAATATTTTTCACTTCAAGTTTGAGTGGAGATCCTTTATTTCTCTAACCAATTTCATTCCAATCAGGTGTGTCTCATCTCTAATGCTTTTAAATGTTACTCTGTGACTCAGATGTTGTGGCCTTCACACAGGAAGGGTTAACAGGAACCTGGCAAATGCACATTTTATCATGTTGATCATTCATACCCAGTCAAGCATAGGAGAAGTGAAAACCCTTGTAGCCAGAGAGCGACACTTAAACACTGGGGAAATAACACTTGCAGAAAAGAAAAGTTGTCTGTTCCCAGAATAGGGAATTCTCCTTAGGAAAAGCATAGTGAAAGCCTTCTCTTGCTTTGGCTGTTTAATATATGCCAGCATATTTTATATGGAATTAAATATAAAATATGCCATCGCATTCATAAAATATTTTACTGTGGGCATAGTTTCAATAATTGCTGTTGCACAGTTCTGATGTCAACAATGAAAAAGAAGACTCAGTAAATGCTTTTACTAAAACTGAAGGAAAAAGTCATTCTCAACATGCGAGATTTAAATATAATCTTCCTGGCATAAAGAAAAATGTCACCATTATAGGCAGTCATCAGCCCGATGACTTTTTCATATTTTTAGTCAATTCTTCTGTGCAGTGAGGAAAAAAAAATTATTTAAAAATTTCCTTTATAAAAGTATTAATTTTAGAATGTGAAGTAACAAATCCAGAAATGGGCACTAGATTGAAACTTCGCCTGTGTTTTGGTGTGGTAATCACCAATGCTAATGTAGAATAAATGTTTTATGTCTCAGCCTTGAAGTAAGTAGAGGTAATAAGCAGTGTTAATGAGTTAAGTGCAGTGGATGTGAGGCCTTTTGCATGCTGAATCGTAGCTGAGCTGTCAGAATAGATAATTAAGAAGCAAACTTAAAGCATGCTCTGGCCTGTTTTGCCTTTATTTTAGACAGGTATTTTCTAGCACTTCAGACTTTTTGCATCGTGAAATGCTAACAGCCATGAATTAGGTCTGGATTTGCATGGGAGACAGATGCCTAAATAAGGGAAACTTCCACTTACCTGTTTACCAAAGTATTAGCATGTTCAGTGGAGTTGAATGTCCAATAAATTGAATACCTTATTTGAGGCTTAAATAAAAAATGTTTTATAACTCTACGCTGAGAAGCCCCCCTCCCCCCTTTTTTTTTTCTTTTCCTTTCTAGACTCTACATATTGTTCATCACAATTCCTACGTCCTTTTTCTGAGACACAATTTCAGTTCCTGGTGTCTTCTCATCCCCTGTTTTTTTTTCACTTTCTACTTTTTTGTCATAAACTTTTGCTGCTGCTCCTCTTAGGGTTCCTTTCCCCCTACTTTTCTGCTATGTTTAAAACTTTCTATCCTTTCATCCTCTAGAGAGCTTGAATATGCCAGAAGTGATGAGAAATGCATTTGAACTCACTACTGTGCAGCTGAGTTCACTGTCCAGTTTAGTGAGAAATTGTTCTTCCCCTCACGAGCTGTTGATCTCCTCCAGCCACAAGAGCCCCTTTTTACACGACGGAGAAAGTCTGTCTTTGCTGCGGAGCCTCTAGGGGCACTAACTTCAGGAGGAGGGATTTTCTTGGAGAGAAACATGTCAGGGGGTCTTATTACTGGGGAAAACTATCCCAAAGTGTTCTTCTTTCAACTCAATCTGTAGAATTTTTCTTCTGTTGCTTTTTTGTTTTCCTTTTACATGCCAGCTCTCCATGAATTTGAAGCTTATATGCTCTTTTCATGGTAAAGCATCTGTGAGCAAAGACATTTCTGAGGCAGTGGACAAGTGTATTCTACAAGCAGGGGATCACAGTCCTGCTCAAGGACAGAAATCATTCAACAGGATGAAGCTCTGTGTGGTTCAAATAGTCTCTGGGGTTGTTCATTCCTCTGACTAGCTGGTCTCTTCTTCCCTGCTGTGCAGCTGCTGCCTTCTTGTCAGACTGGTTATTTTTCTAGATGCAGCCAAGGCAAATGTTTGCAAAAGAACTTTGCACTCGAGTGCTGATGACAGCAAAATTTGGAAATGAAGTTTAACCCAGTTACCTATGTTCATATATATCTGTACTAAAGCGACTACTTTTTGCAAAGTGACAGCAAGAAGTATGCAATAGTACAAGCATCCGATTCTGTTTATAATATGTTGAAGGTAGAGAGGTAGTGTAATGTTATAAGCGAATCAGTGACACATCTTATTAAAAGTTAGTAGGTTATTTGGCTCACATTTAAGGGATATTTAAACTGAAGGAGACCAAAGTATTTACCTTCTTTGACAGCTGTATTATGGTAAATATTAAGCTATCAACAAAGCTGTAGAAATTAATATGATTCTCTTTTTCTCCCCCGTAGATTTCAGGAAAGTTGTTTGTTTGTTGATCTAGATTAAAGGTAATGCAATAAACTATGCGTAATATGTTGCGTTATAAAATCCAAGTAGTGTCTCACTGAAGAGTGATCCATAAACAGGATCATGAAAAATTGACTGCAGCAAATGACAGTTCAGAGCTTGACTTGAGCAAACATGTCACATAGTGCTACCATTCTGTGTAACCACACTGCGAGCAAGAGCAGACCTCTAGAATATTTAGATCTTGAGCTATAAAAGGTTTTGTATAATAACAACAAACATTTTTTAGGTTTGTAATTTTGGTTTTGCTTCCTGTGTTCCTATTTTTTTTTCCACTTAATCCTGAATTAATGCATTGGTAGTCCTTTTCTCCAAGATGGCTTAAACTTGCTCTTTAGAGACAGTTAAGTATGTTACGGGCTGCATACACAACAGAGAATGTCCTGTGCTGTTTTAAATAGTTTGATGGTCTGCACTATCCCAGGGGGATCTGCCTGCAGGGACTTACTTTTCACTGCTCCTTTGGTGTCAGTGGCTGAAGAGGGTAGTGATGTCCAGCTGGTCAGTAATTAGGACCTCCAGAGAGATAATCCCTTCAGTTAGCACAGCTTGATCTAGAAGATGATGTCTATGTGGTACTATCAATGTCAACTTCTTATTTTAAAACGTGCACAAAATATAAAGCATGCCTTCTCTGAAGAACAGTAAGTAAATGTCCTCTTGCATTCGAGCAGTATCTTTGTCACAAGGTATAGGCCAGATAGAAAAGCTACATTTATAACCAAGAAGAAAGTATGGTTTTTGCAAGCTGAACAGCCAGAGATTAAAAACAAAATAATGCACTTCCTGTCACTAATTCTGTCAATATTGTTAACGTCCTTTCACAGAAGAACAAGAAATGTTGATGAAATCTTTAAGGTAAGACTTGTAACGTAAATGCTAGGGTAAATCAGTGTTTTAATTTCTTGTTGTTTTTCGTTTAGCTTTTTATGTTTTAAGCCAAGATTTTGTCCCTTCAGTTATAGGTCATCTTTGACATTATGAAAGAATCTTTTCCTAATATGAGGAAAGAGAACTTCCAAACAGCTCACTTTGCCTGAAGCATTTCTATTCTTTGTGAAATCTAATTTGAATTACACTTTTGTTATGCAATTAAGAGACTTGCTCATCTATGCAGTTACCCAGGGAATGCTTTTTCAGTAAGAAGCATTATTGTTTTCCTACCAGTAACCACAATACCTTTTCTTAATGCTCCTAAGGTAGGCGTATTGTATGTTAGGATTTGATTTTTCATTGCATTAGTAAATATTTTTATTCTGTAATAATTTCTAATAACTTTTTCCATGCTCACTCTTTTTTTGCAGTGGATATCACTAAAACTCCTTTTGTCCTGGTATGGTAAACCTCTGAAAGACTATGAACTGTGGGCATTATGTCATGAGTGTTTACGTACTCTGCAGACTTGCATAGATTATCCAGGTAAAAGCTTAATTACTTTTAAATATTTCTTTATTTACATGCTTGTTTTAATGTTCGGTATAAGCCATTGATGCCAAATATCACTCTTTTTTGTATAGAAAAAATAACAGACAATATTTCTAATTTAACGCTTTGATTTTTTATTCCACTTGTAAAAATATCTTAATTTCTCTCTAATCTGTGCTTGTGGGGGAAGGAAGGAACATGTAGGAGAAGGAATATATATGTTTCATACCTAGGTGGCCTTTGACAATCGAGGCCTTTGCCAATTTAAAGTGACCAGGATCTTGGCGGGACTTTCATCTGCTCTTTGTCCATTCTTTCGCTTGAGTTTATAGGAGGGTTCAGATATCAGCTCCTGAGCTCCTGAGAGAGGAAAGGGGAGTAAACCTTTGACAGAATTGGAATATGTTGTACATAACACGGGAAACGATGGTCCTAAATTTCAGTACGTATTCTGAATGTTAGGTCTAGCTTTCACTAACTAGAAATCTGTAATAAAAAAGAGCAGAGGTGCCCTACCTTGTCTTTAAAAAGCAGCTTTTGAGGATTTGGGTATGGATTAGTTTGAAGTCTGGGACAAATGGATAGTAAGGTACAGAAAGCTTTTCTGTGTATCTTTTATTTTCAGTTTCAACCATTTTGTCTTTTCTGGTATAAAAACATTACAGAGAAACTGGCTATAAAAAGAGATTTCTGAGCACCTTAAACAATGTTGCCCTCAATAAAATAAAGCTACTCTGAATTTGAATAATGTTTTCCAAATTAGAATGTTTCTGCCAGAGGAATCACTGCCTGTTTGGAGACTGGCTGCACATCCTGCAGTGACTTACAGCTGTGTTGCTATTTCAGTGGAGGGGTTGAGGAGAAAAGCAATAAAGTTCAGTATTCCTTTTAAAAATCCTAGCTTATTGAATGTGATGCTGAGATGATAGAAACAATATGTTGAAATATCCTTTGCCTCAGTGCTGATAGCATGAGACTAGTAGCTGATTAATGATGGTTAAATAGATGAAATGTGGAACAGGCTGGACTAGCTCTTATTTATTCTACTAGACAGCCTTTTCCTCCACATGCTCCCTTGAGTGCATTTTTTTCAATGTGCTTACTAGAAATTATCTGCATAGGATAATATATCCTGAAGTTAGTATTTTCATATATTTTTGAAAAAGATCATGCTACAGAAGGTGTTTGCACCCTTCATTGAGTCTTTGCTTGTTTGCCTTCCAGTTGTTTTCTGTATGTTGCTCTGTAGAGGACCCGTGTGAGAATTCTCTTGCTATACTGCCCAGGAAGGAGACCGGTCCTGGTTTGCATGAGCTAGATTACAAAGTTAGGGCCAGAGGTTTTTACTGTTGAGATATCATAAGTGAGCGTGAAGAGATCTCAGGGAAGCTGCCCTTGTAGAAATATCTAGTAACGGTTCCAATTCAGAAAAGACAAGTAGTTCAGGGCAGGCTTAAACACTACTGAAGTTAATAGGCAAGCCTGTATTTACATGAAGCATATTGAGGCCAAAATTGAGCTCAAATACATTTTAATGAAGTTAGATCGTTTTAGATACGTTTTGTACATATAACTACAAAGCATCTTTTCCTTTTTATATCTCTTTTTTATTCCTAGAGCTCTTCAAACTTGTCTTTTTGTATTTAATTTTGATTTTTACTGTCCAAGCACCCTGTTTTTCGTAGCAAAATGGTTTATTTGATGGTAGCTGTGAAGGCAGAACTGCACTGCCAACCATATGGCTTATTATATTAAAGTATGTTAAATTAGGCTGTGCTGTGAAGGCTGTAAGAAGCCTGGAGCACATCTAGTGGAAGCATTTCTTTCATTTGTTTCTTTCTGGGCCTTCTCTTCAGTGCTAGGTATAAACGGAATAAGTTTCCAGCATTCTAAGTCCCTTTATTTATCTTGTTCCCATTTTGTTTTATTTTCTTGTCTTTTTTTTTTTCTTGAAGGAATTGCCTGTCTGTAATTGCAGCTTAGGGTGATTTCTTCTCTGCTGTCTGTTATATTGGGTGATTTCTGTTCCAGCACTAGCATTATTTAAAGCTTCATTTTTACTATCCTAGGGTGATAGCTGATGTTGCAAATTATTTTTCAAATTATTTCATTTCTTTGGTGTGAAACAGTTAAAAGGACAGATAGTTATTACAGCTTGTCTTTTGTAACTTGTTTTGCAGTGTTCTTATGTTTGGACTCTGTACAGATTGACTGCCATGGTAGCATCATCTTCACTGCTCCAAAAGCTGAAGGTAAATTGATATATTAAGCCATTTAGTTTTAAGGAGAATAAAGAAAATATCTTACCTTGTGTTTTCTTTTCTCTTTCAGAATCTTGCGATGTATTTTATTTAGCTCCTGAAATTGAGGAGGAGGGTATAGTTACCGAGAAGGTAATGTGGTAGGTCATGGGGGTTGCCATTCATTTTATCAGTGGACAATTATGTCCCTCTGCTCCTTAAATGAGAAAGCAAAAACATTCTAACATTCTAACATTTGAATTTACAGTATCTGTTTTGTAATATGAAAAGAGCATTTCCTGCCCTCTTTGTCCATTTGTAAACATGAAATAATAATTGTGAGTCAGAAGAAAAAATGCTTTAAATTTTTTTTAAAAAAATATTATCTTTCTGTTAAATTACTTAGAACTACCAAATATTTATATGTTCTTTTCTTTAAAGTCATTTCTTCTTTTTAAATTGTTTTGATCCAGTATGCAGGATATTTGGAAGCTATCTTGAAGTTTAAACTAACCCTGAAATATAATATAGCAACTTTATCAGACAGTGGAAATTAGTATCACTGAAGCCTTTGTAATTCATGCTTTATCTCTGGAAAGTCCTTTTTCCAGCATTCCAATATTACATGTAGAATTCTGACTAAGTTCACTTCCATTTTTGGCTAGTTCCTGATATTTGTATAACTTTTAGGTTGTTATAAGGATTAACAGAACTGTGGTAGGATCATCAAGGCTTGTGCAGCGCCAGCCTTAGTGCCTGTGCCACTTAGCAGTAGAAGGAGCTTTTGCAGAGCATGTGCTGGGTCAGGTGGTAATTTTTCCTTTAAAGAGAAGAAAGAAAGAAAAAAGAAGTTAAAATTGAAATCTTATCGACCTCTTTCAACTTTGAACCTAAGAGGATGATAACCTGGTGGAGTTACTTTCTCTTCTTTTAGACTTTTTGTACCTGTTATTAGCTTTTGTTCAGCAGCTCAGATGTTTCACAGCTTGCCCTCTTTACAGTGAACTTGCTTGTGTTCAGAGTTTTTTACGTGGCTCCAGAGAGCACTAGAAAACTCTGTATTGTGCTATGCTAAACATTAAATAGTTCGAGTGAGTCTCTGTCTGAAAATAGTAATTCTTCAAATAAAATAAGACTACTTGTGAAGATCAAGTACTTTTCCAAGGTCTCTCAATATGGCAACTTCAAGTGGCCTAGTTGCCAGCAGTACAATTCCTGAAATAAATACATAGTACCAAGTTCTTCTGATAGGTGTAATCTTCTGTACTTGTTCATAGGAGTAAAATACAGCTTGTGCTGAGCTACTCGTAATGACTTTGTGCCATTTACTTGCTGAATTATCAAGGCCTTTTTTTTAAGTAAATTGCTTCCAGTCAGGTTGTAAGCTAGAACCCTAATGCTTACATTAATCTATTATATGAGAAAGGGCTTCATCTGAATATAACACAAAACACTTCTTTGTTTTGATAATTCTCTTAGTCAAATGAGGAGACAAATTATGCCTATTTTTCCAACAGGAGAATATTAGCTGCTATTATTGACACTGCCACATAACTGCTAGTTTTTAAAATGGGCCAGGATTTTCATCAGCACTGACTGTGGTCCATTCTTTGGAAGCTGCAGACCATTTTATTTAATTTGGGGTGAGGATAACTGCAGTGGATAACTGCGGGGGACTGGTTTTGAAGGAATTATTTTGGTCTGGTTACATCTTTCCTCTGCTACACTCATAGGTCTGCATTTATGGTGTTGCTGCAGTTCTATGGATGGCAGCAAAATACAGCTTTCCACCTCATCACAAACTAGCATTGCCAAGAAAGTTGAAAAGCCTTCTTCTGGATATGGCAAAAAGAAATCCCGAAGAGAGACCTTCTGTAGCTGATGCAATTAAGGTTACTCTATTTAAACAATTTTGTATGAAATTGTTAGTTGTGGCCAGGGCATTATTTTAATGATTTGAAAATCAAAATATCAATTTATTTTTGGTAATACCCTATCAATGATAATCTTTTATTTTCTTTTTAAGTTACTCCTCCTCTGGGGAAATGGAGGGGTGTGTTTTTAATTTATATTGAAATTATCATTAAGGTACTTGAAATAGGTTCATAAGACTTCCTAAACTTAGATTAATTTTAATTGACTATTTATCATGTCTTGTCCTTTTCCAGGAATAGTTCACTTAATTGAAAACTTGTTTACTAATTGAAAATTATGATTTTCGTGTTTTTAGGCATGCAATTGCTTTTTGCTTGATCGAGGCATAAACAGCAAAAAAATTCTGGCCTTGTTGAGTAAATCTGTTGTTAAGGTAAGGTGTCTTTAAGGTAAGTGTGCCCTCTGCTTTTTTTTCTGTAATTTACTGCGTTTATTTATTTTCCATTTATTTCTGTAAAATATGTTCTAGTAAGATTTTTGATCCTTTCAAGTATAATTGTTAATCCTCCTAATTTTTTCAACACTCTTAAGTAGTCTTTAAGAATTATCTTTGTGAGAGCATTATTAACGGTAAAAGATTTATATAATACTTAGAATTGTATGTGTGTGAGCATATATGTTTATGCTATGTGTTATGTATAATTTTATAGTGATATACGTATAGAAAAATACATATTTTTAATTCCTTGAAGTAATATAAAAAGGATGTGAAAATTGTATTCTGTTTTTAGGATCAGTTTTAATGCCTGCTCTTAGATATATGTGCATTTATATTTAAGTCTTGAAATGATGTGGTTGAACTTGGCAAGTATTACTTGGTCAAAAATTAGGGCAAGGATGCAAAAGCTTTTCAATTTAATAAAGTTAACGACAAAAAAACAACTTTATCACATTTCTGAGGTAGCTGTTACAGTGGGCCACTGAATTTTTTTGAAGAATAATATCTGTGGTTCCAAAAAGGCTGCATAATGTCTATCTCTGTGTTGGAATGGTTGCTCTAGTTTGACACCCAAAATCTATAATAATCGGCATGGATGAGAGCAAAGAAATAAGGCAAACCAGTGACTTCATGATCTGGCCTTCACTTACATCCTTCTAATCAGAGAATGGAAAGTGTTAATATGTCGTTGCTGTGTTCTGTTTATGTTTTATATCTGCATATAGGATACACAACATTATGTTCAGTCAATCTGATGAATTGACTTTGTTCAACATTATGAATTGCCTCAGAATTTTTGATTATGAAAATTACACAGTGAATTACCAAAATTAATAAACTGTTCTACCTGTCCTTAGAGTTTTCTGTATCGATCGTTTTAATTCTCCACTTAGGTGTGACTGGATTGCTACTTTGCAGATTACAGAAATTCAAAATCTCAATATTCTAGGTTTATAGTTTTTTGAGTAGCATGCTGAACAAGGATAGATTGAGGTTGGACTTCAATTTTTATTACCAGGCTTCCAAGGAAGAAGCAATCTCTTCTCAAAATCATGTTGCTTTTGAACTTAAAAATGAAAGACATGAAATGGGCCCTTCAGAGTCAAGTCTAGGTAAGCAGTTAGATTTCCTTTCTTTCAGTATTCTCTAGATCAATTCTCTATGGGAGATTTTCTCAGTCAGTCAAAGAGGCTTTTTTTTCTTTCTACATAGCCTTTGTATTTTATATATTGTTCATATTTCTTCTAATTCTGTTTCTTTTTTTCAGGATTTGTGCCAACTACCAGTGAAAGCAAACTTATAGCAGTTAGAGGACCAGTACCTTGCCAGATTTCTTTAACCTGTGAGAAGGCTGCATTACCTGTTGCATTCACCTCTCCTGCAACTCACTTTAAGCCTATTATTCTGCAACAAAACGCAAACATTATAAAGTTAGTATATGCTAATGCAAAGTAAGCTAAAAGTTCAATGTTAGATCTACTGAATTTGTTCTCAAAAAATACTTTGCTCCTTTTCAGACAGGTTCACAAACCAACTTCTGTGCAATGCAAGAAAGAGATCGGAGAAGAAAAGCATATGGGGCACAACAAATCAGTGTCCTGTGTAGGAGACACAAACAGTCATGCTACTGATGATCCAGTTGTTGAAAGTGCACCTGAAATACCTGAGTGTGAATTACAAATGCCAGGCTATTCAGCCCAGATGTCTTCAGAAGGAGAGAAGTCTGGAAGTGTGCTTAATTCTACAGTTACATTATCATCAAAGTCTCATTCCTCACATCTTTCACCAGAAGATAATATTTCATCTGCAGTTTCTTCAAGTTCCTTGTCTTTACCTGCATCTTCTAATGCCCTTCATATAAATAACATCATTCTCAAACAGGACATAGAGAAAAGAGTTTTAACATTTGTACCTGTACATTTAGCTGTATCAGAGCAAATAGCAAATAAACCTCTTCGTTCAAGAATTGCTTATGACTGCTGCCATAGTTTGCCAGTGCTACTTTCAAGTGCTATTGCACATTATAAAAGGAGCACACAAACAGAAGATGATGCATCATTTTGCAAAGTGCAAAACCATGAGATCACTAATACACAGGACAAGATTGAAAAAAATAACCAAATTAAAAAAAACAGTTGCCAAGATGCCGAATGTGCTACCAGTTTAGATGGCACAAACACTGAACAAGGACATGCACCGTGGACCTCAGTCAAGCAAAACACTTCTCTCTTTGATGTTGAAGCCTTGTCCCAGCGGAACGCAAGTCATACTTTATTACAAAAAGTGGTTCATCTTATACAAGAGGAATTTGCATTTGATGGCTATCTTGAGAATGGAGTTGAAGTTATTGATATGGGTATGTATGTTTTCTTATATATGTTATATCATTGGTATAAAAGAATGCTTTTAGTAATGTGTTGTCTCTCTCTTTCTCATTCTATTTTTTTTAATAAGGTAACTTTATTTTAGCCTTAAAGGAAATTAAGTTTGATATGTTCTCCAATGCAATTTGTGAGAAGTTTTGTGACCTTTACTGGGATGAAAAATTACTGGAGAATCTCTACCAGGTTGTAAATGGAGAAAGAGCTTCACATTTATGGTAGGTGTTTTTTTCAGTTTTTTACTTCTTACTGTTTGGTTTGATTTTTTTCCCTGTTTCTTGCCTATTACTAGCAGCAGGAAAGCATATGCTGATTCTCTTCAGGTATCTTACTTGTTTTCCTGTCAGCTATTAATTTCCCGATCTATCAGGTGGTACTTGGCTTCCCCCATATCAAATAGTGCTTTATGAATTAGTAAGAAATGTTTTGTATAAAGCTTGTCTGTAACTCTGCTGTAGGATAGCTGAGCAACTGAGAGCTAATTTTGATCAACTATTCTTTGTAACCATTGATGGAGAGCTTCATACTTGTGTGAGAAAAAGACCACTTATCCAGAACTGACATGTATTGTTCTTATGGTTCAACTTGCTCATTCTGTTTGATTTCCCTTTTTTTATGCATTGGCTCAAATTCTCCTTAAACTAGAAGTAAAGTTGCCTTGATACATCCTTTTCATTCTACTGACGCCTAAGAACAAGAAAATTAATTTAGATTTGCTAAAAGCATCTTTGACTTAACTACCTTAGTTTGACCTAATGTGCCTCCTCACAATCTTTTGTAAATAGATTATTAAGTGAGAAAACACCATTTTAATTAAATTCACACTTTGACTGTTTAATTTCCAGTGACATATTTATTTACCTTGAAAAACAGACTGCACTTGTTTTAATGCAGCCTCCAAATGTATCATACTTTTAAAGACTTTCTGAAAACTATTGTAAACAGTAAGGATACATATGCAGAAATTATGTAGGTTTTCTTTGTCAGTCGTGGTCCTGAGCCCTAGACTGGAAGTTTTCACAAAGAAGGTTGATAGATGCCATCTAGGAGAACTTTTGTATTAAAGGTATTTCATATGAGCAGCATGTTTCAGGGGCAGAGGGGTATGACCTCCGGAAATAATGCCCTCACATTCCGTCCCAATACACGTTAGGGTTGGATAAGAAGTCAGGGATGGGTTCTCATCATGAAAACTGGTGAGAAGTTAGGTTCTTAATTCCCAGAGTTGAATGTTTTGGCAGGAGAAGGTTGAGCTGTTGCAGCTGAATTTCTGTGATATCTGAAGAGAGATGTCATCATCTATATGAACTTTTCTTAGGATGTAAAATCTTTGAAAGTGAGAGAGAAAGGAAGTAATTATTTATTATCGCCATGAAAACACAGGTGTAGCTTTTAGGTCACAGGTAAGAACTGTCTCAGAATATTTCTGACATACTGTTTTCCCATGTACCGGAAGTATCCAACCGTTCTTAATTGTTGTATTGTTTAACTCAGAACTGTCATTAGTCTCATCAGAGCCAACTTAGAGCCAGCCTGCCATACAGAGACTGAATCCTGATGCTTTCTGTTTATATGCGCTCTGATATTTTTGTTGAAATTTTCCTAAATGTTCTAAAGGAAATCTCTAGAGCTCACTCAGTGTACCTTAATGTCCTTAAGAATTTGAACATTTTTTCTTGTAAAATAACAAGTGAAATTGTGTTGTGAAGTGTACAAACTTCAGGAGTTTGATAAATTAAATTAAGTCCTTCTTGCAGGGTTATTTATAAGATCTCATTTTATCCTGACGTAAATATTTAAGGGTATGAAACATTAATTTTTCCCCATCTTCTTGTATTTTCAGCATAACTGAGGCAAATGATTCAAAATGTGACAGTGTATTCCAAGAGCTGGAGCAATCTGACAGCTTTTTGGCAAGCAGCCATCGGATGGAGGGTGAGAAGGGATCTTGTGTACCTAGATCTTTATGTGTGCTGAGAATCCCCCAGTGAGTCAAGTTTGGAGAGATTGACACTCCCAGTATGCCTTCAGGCAAACAGTCACCTTAGAGCTTATGACAAAATATCTGAACATTTTCTGTACCTTGCAGAATTTTTGTCTTTTATTTGAAGGTTAAATCTGACCAAATATTAAGTGGGATGTCTGCTTCATTTACTAAAGCAACATGTGACTGTTGAAAAAAAAATCATGAATTCCTAATTGCTACATGTGTTTTTCTCTTTTTTCTTGTGTTCACGCAGTCGATGCTAGTGGCATGCTTTGGTGGAGAGAGATAAAAAGAGAGAGGAGCAATGGTCAGCCTTACAGAATCAGCTCCATACAGCATAGCAAGCTTAGCTAGAGAGAGGAGAGCTTGAGAAAGTGTTTGACTCCTTAGGCATTACTGAAGCAGATGAAGATAGACCAAGTGGTGACTCTTTAACACTTAGCGTACCTGGCCCTTCTTTGTTGACTTACTAGAATTTAAGCAAAGTTAGGCAGTTAAAAAAAAAAAAACAGAATAAGAACAGAGATTGTCAATTAAATTATTTACAAATTCTGGGAATGGGACCTGTACAGAGCTTGTACAAACTGTTTCAAAGTCTACAGTTACCAAAAGTTCACTTTTTTATATAGTCCTGAATCTCCTTTATTGTACATTTTTACGTATTCATACATAAAGCACATACAATTCTGTTTTTAAACTAGGTTACTTCTCTGTTTTGTGTAAAGTTGTATTGGGTGTTATGGCAAAGCTTAAAGTTATGAGCTTGCACTTGGCTGCTGTCAGGCTATGTTACAATTTTTTATTTTGGCTCAGCATGATTGCAAATGTAGAGCCAGCCCTTCCCACAGGGAATGAGACTTCTTTGCACCAGTAACTCGGGCACATTTACCTCCAAGGCTGGCGTCTCTAAGCCCTGGAGGACTGTGCAAGTGAAGAGAGAGGCTTCTGGCAGGTGGCTGCTGTCTGCATCATGCCAACCTTTGACTGTCACCTCAGTCCCTTAAGATTGCTCGGAGCTGTTATAACTTCAGAGAAGTCCTACCATAGCCCAAGGGAATCAGTCCTGTAGGAGCAGAAAGCACAACAGTAATACCTGTGTGTCCTTTGGCTATATCAAATACTCTTGTTCTCTGTATATGAAGAGCTTCAAGATTTATGGATGATAAAACAAATGAAGAACTAAGTTTTTTAAGAATGTGTGTACAGGTTTCAGAGGTTTAGTTTTGTTTTGAAGCTTCTCTTCTGTAGTATGCTTTGTTTAAATGCTTTTAGTACATATTCAGAACATATATTGTATTTTTCAAAAACTTATTGATCAAAACTTAAGAGTTTTGTGGTTTCTTTGACCTTTACCATTTTACAAGGTCTAGCTGAGAGCCAAATAAGCATAAAAGGAACATAAAAGATATTTTTGTCATAGCAGTTGACACTTTAAGGTGGACCAGCACACCTATAATAACTCTATTAAAGGGCATAGGTAGTCTTTAAGTTTAATGAAGCATACAGCAAAACATATGACCATTATTCCTTTCATTCCACCCCTCTCTCTCCCTTCAGAAGTGGAAGCAACCTTTGACATGAAGCCTGAACCTCTGATCAATACATCACTACCTGAAAAAGACCTGTATGAGTCACCTTCAGATAACTGTGAAAAAGAATTCCGGCTGAAGAATAGTATTCTTATAGCAAAAGAGGGACAGTGCTTGCAAAACAATGACTGTTGTGTGGGTACAGGCTTTGCAGAAGAAAATATGGAACCAGGGGAAGAGAGCATGATAAAGACAGTTGAAAACAGCCATCTTGCATCTCCCAATCTACCTGACTTTCACAGCTGTAATCCTGGATGGAGCAGTGCCTTTTATGGAGCCGACTGTTTCGGTTCTGAAGTTCATAGTTACGTAAAAAACCTTGGAAAGCAGAAATCAAGTGAGTCACAAAATATAGATGCTAAGAAAGTGGTGAGTACATTGATTGAAAATCATTAATATGCCTCTTTGCTTATTAGTTAAAAGAATCTGCTTGCAAAATTAATGTATACTTTTATATGTTGCTACTATTTGCACTGATGTGCAAGAACTTGGCTAACCCAACAACCATGCAAGTGGCTGGGAGCGAGGGAACAGTCATGAAATATCTGTGTAGAATATTATGCTGTCTCTGTGTCCCACACATTCCACTGAGGGAGATTACTGTTGATACTAAATGCAATCATTTACATCAGGAATCAGTAGCCAAGCGAAAGTATATTCCAATACTTGAAACACAAGTGTATACTCTTCTTACTACTAAGAGTAGATAGACTAATCTTTGGTACTTGTTTGTTAAATATATACATATATAAATATGCATATATGTATGTATGTGTATAATACATAAATGACTGTCATCATTTAGACTAGTCATCTAACTATAATTAGTAAATCTTAGCCAGTGGACAAGATTTAGACTCAGATCTGGTTCAGCTTCAGTAATGCAGAACTTGTGTGTGTGACCTGTTCTGCACATGGGGATATAGGCAAACAGGAATAAATTATTTGCAGAAATAGAAGCCTCCGATCTTGCATAAAAATCCTGCCTAACATTGGTCAAAATTGAAACGAATACCATTATAAACTATCATCTTCATTTACCCCATCCAATTCATATTCTATTCCACTATCTTCTTCAAAGATAAATACTAAATTCACTTGTACACCGTGTTTTGGATGCAAAGAGAAATAAAAAATACTTTGCACAGAAACAATGTTCTGTGTGTTGTGGTAAGTAACCGTAGGTTGGGCTCCTGCTTATGGCACACATCCTACCAACGCAAACCCTTCCAGCCCTTGCAGCAAAGCAAGCTTCTTGCCCTCACATTAACATCTTTTTCTGTGCTCTGATCAGCTTCTGCTGTCACTTCTCTTGCAGCACTGAGCCTTCACCCTTAGCATTTGTCCTTTTCCTCTTTGTCTGTGCTGGGATTCAGCTCTTCCCTCCAACACTATTAAGTCCCTTGTCAGAGTCTCCACCCAGCTTCTCTGCACCAGCCTGTGACCAGGAGGTTCCTAGAGCAAGTGCTTCACCTTCTGCTCACACTCTTCTCTTCCCTCTCCCACTATTCTAGTTCCCTGTGGGAGGCCACCCTTTGGCATGTAAATACTGGTGCTGTACTTGGAGTTTTTGCTTTTCCTAAGTAAGCAAGTAGTTCTCCATTCCCCAGACGAAGGGATGTGCTAAAGAAAAGTATCTTGAGGAACAAAATATACTTCAGAGGCAGTGGGATTTAATCACAAACTGGGGGACCAGACACTTTCTAATATACCCATCAGGTTCCAAACATTGGTTCCAAAAATTGGCTGATTTTTCAGATTCATTTTCTGTAATTACATTGTATTAATCATTGTGTTTTCACTTCAATTGATGAAATAAAAAATGAATCTTAATTGAAAGCAAGCTATTTCCAATGCATAATCTAGGTAATAACTTCACTGCGTGTGATGACTATATAATAACTGTTTTAAAAATCTACAGGGTTTAAACTGTGTGATTCTTGCTGCTGCTGAACTAAGTTGTTTAATCTTTTGAACTTTTATCAAAAAGAGACCCCTCAGTGACAGGTTTTTGCTCAAACTCGAATTAATTCATACTAAGTCCATGCCATCAAAAGCTAACTTATTTACCAACCAGCTGTTTGATATTTTAGCTCTGAGCCGTGTGCTTTTTGATTATTACGCTTATGGGAATTTTGTCTGCTGCATTCAGTGAATTTATTCCATTTAAAATGATATTTCACATAACTAGGTCACCTGGAGTCAGGACACAAATGCAAAAGCCACTACTTTGAAAATCCCCAGTACACATTAGGTTCTAATACCCTTGTTTCCTAATGAATCTCAAGATAGGCGAGTTCTATAGTTTAGATTTTTGTGTTTTGTTTTTTTTTTCTTTTTTTTCCCCCAGGTAACTGCAGGCTTTGTTTTCAGAATATCAGGTTCTAATCACTGGGTAGCCTTTTTCTTTTTTACTGTCATTTCTTTTTTCCTTAATCTATGAATTGTACTGCTGTTTTTTTATTTTTTCATCTTTACAAACACCTTATTTTTAAAGAGGTAAAATAAATTGTGTTTTATCCTTTCATATTTATTTATTCAGCAGCTTGTTTACCTGTTGTACACTGCTTAAAGGGAAGTTATTCTGCAACCAGAATTCATACAGAAAGCATGCATTTCCCCCTCTCATTTGAACTCAATTGTTAAGTGTGTATGTGATGGGTAAAAATATATAAGGCTAATTTTCATTGTGATTTTTTTTTAGTCTAAAGATTGTTGTAATACCTAAAAGCACAATTGGATGTAATTTTTGGACTGTTTGCGGTAGAGTCTTCAAAAAGTCCCAGTAGATTTTGGATTTGTTGGACTTCTAAACACTCGTGAATCTTTCATCTCATATAACTATGAAAACAGGAGAGGAAAAAAAGTCCAAAGTACTTGTTTGCTTTGCTTAATTTTTGAACAGTTAGTTTTAAAATAATGGAATTTAGCAGACCTCATATTTTATCCGAATATTATTGTATGCAATTCAAAAATTGTCTAGCAATTGTCATTTGACTCCCAAATTTATCAGTTTCTACTCTCTGTTTTGCTGGGAAAGCAAACTCAAATGCAATGCCCTTTTGTGTTTTAGAGGGGCAGATACTTATCAGAACTTTTTATAGTAACTCAGGCTGTTTTTCCTAGCTATCATGTTATCTGTCTGAAATGCTAAATAACACAGCTAGTTTCCGTTTCCTACTGAAACTTTGCAGGAAAACCATTTACCATTATGATCAGAATCCTTTTCCTCTTTACATAGGAACTGGAACAATTGCTAATGATAGAGACAAAAAATTATAGGAAAACCATAAAATTTTACCAGAAGCTTTTGCAGAAAGAAAGAAGAAACAAAGGTAATATTACAGCAACCTGCCAATAATGAAATGGGGGAGTATGATATCATTTAAGGAAATTTTCATATATATCAAATAATTAATGTTTTATGTTATGTGCATTTTGCATCCAAAGGTCCTGAAATCAAATCTATGTTGCCCAAGTTGAAAGGACAGCTACAGGAAATGAAATCAAAGGTGCAATTTCTTGAGCTGGTGAAGAAATATGTGCAGGCAAGTGAGGCTTTGTTTTGCTTTGGTTTCGTTTGTCATTCCAATGCTGCATCAGGGTTGTTGGCCCTTCAAGTCAGCGTGTAAAACGTGGAATGTTTTGACAAGTGCCAAGTCAAGTAAAATTTAAAAGAATGAATGAAATGAAAATAACAACTGTGTAGTATTGCTTTTATTAAAAAAAAAAAAAAGGCAGTTGTATTTTGGCTTTAGGTAGAATGGACTGCATTTTCTGTGGATTTTTTTCCTCTTTGTTTTTGTACTTTTTATTTTTGCCTTGCTTTGCATCTCGGAGCAGATCATGTATGCAGAGCAGTGGGGTGTTGAGTCCTGTGTGCTTCCCACGGTCGTTCACAGCAGCAGAGCTGACGCGCTGGATGTGGCACCCACGGAGGAGCCATCACTGCTTGTTTACCATAATACAGGGAAACACAATTGCAATAATCAAAATGGAATAAGAGATTTGCAGGCTGGGACTCCACTTGGTTTAATGGCTTATTTATACTCTAGGTATGTATATTTTGCATATCATTAATTGGGAGTAGAGCTGAGCATTGCTATTAAGCAGAAACAACCAAAAAATGAATGTGTTCATCAGCACTAATATTACAAAGTAAATTTTGAAGATAATAGAAATATCAAAGAGGATCTCCATAAAATTCTAAGCTCTTTATAATTTTTAATTAAATAGAAGTGGTACTTCTACTGTCGATCTCAATATTTCTCATTTTCCTCCAAAGCATTATGTGTAAAAACAAAATAAATCAGTTTTAATGTTAATGTTCAAAATAATGTTCAAAAATAATCAAATTAATTTCCTGTAGAGCTTGTGGATTTGAAATCCCTGACAGTTCTTGATGTTTTGAGGATTTTTATTGTTGCCGTACTCTACTGTAAGAAGAAATCATGTTCTTGTTTGAAGTTTTTTTTTTTTGTGCTTCACAGAAATGCATTTTTAGAAGGTTATGTGCAGCAGTTTCTCTACACTTTTCGTTATTTCTGCACACAAGAAGAATTTTTACAGTTTCTTCTTGAAAGAATCAGCAGCACTTTATCCAGGTACTGTAACTTTCTATGAAAAGAAATATTATCAAAGCACAATTGACTTTTCCTCCAATGGCAAAGAGCTCTTTCTGAAAAGAACTGCTTAATGAACTGAAGTTTTTTATGGTTATTTTTATAAAACTGTCTTGGCAAGTGAGAGTGAAATTAGAGCAAATACTATATTTAGCAATATGCTTTTTTCTTTTTTTCAGCATTTATTTTTAATTGTAAAATTTTGGTACAATAAATGCATTTTTCTTCTCACCAGCGCAAGCCTGGAACCTTCCACATCATTTACCAAAATATGTAACCGCAGTTTCTACATCCTGCAGGCTTGGATTGAAGACTGCTACAGCATAGACTTTGCAACAAATACTGATCTTTTGTATACTCTAAAAGAGTTTATTTCTTCCAAGGTAAGACAAAATTTTAGTGGAAACTTTAAAGGGGGTAAATTGAAGTCAGTTATGGTATATGAGACATGGCTAATATAAAAATCTGCCTCAATTACAAATAAAAGTAAAGTACAAAAAAATGCTGGCTCTGACAGCTATACTCAGTACAGCTGCTTTTGAACTGGCTGGAGTCTTGTATCTTGCTTATAATTTCTGGGAAATTCAGCTCAATATTCTGTTAATCTATACTACATTTACAGGTTGCTCCATTAAATGGCTATGGTGAGCGCTTGTTGTCATTGCTTCAGGATGCTTCTGCCAGGAAAAATGATAGTGCTTATCATTGCTCCGGCATGGACAAATGTGAAGAGGAAGGCGAGGAGGACAGAAAATCATTACATTCATTATGTAAAAAGCTCTCAGAGGATGTTTCCAGGAAGGTTCGTCATATCTTTAGGCTGTGGCGTGCTCAACATGTTTTCCATGCATTATTCTCTCTCTCTCTCTCTCTCTCTCTCTGTCTCTCACACACACACACACACACACACACAAATATATTCAGTTTAGCATCTGGATCCTGGTTCAGTAAAATCAATATAGCTGTGTTCGTGGGGTTTTTTTTTGTTTTTTTTTTTTGTTGTTGTTGTTTTTTTGTTTTGTTTTGTTTTGAAAGTTTCTGTGGTTAAAACAGTTAGTTGTACAACCTCAGCCTCAACTGAACCAAATCCTGAGAGCCGAACACTTAATTCCTGGTACTAACTTGTGACTCTTAGTTACTGGGAAACCTTTTCTCCCCCTTGTCAGTTATTAATACTTTTTCTTACACAGGTATCTTCATTTGTAAGAGTAAAGGTATAAGAAAACAGTGAGTGGCAAGGTTCTTTTCTAGAATTTCAAATTTGTAGCAAAAACCTGTCTGCATTTTAACGGTCTTTATTCATTTACAGAGTGTGCTAGTGAAAAGTTACCTGAAAACTTGGAATATATGGCAGCCTTTGCCCAAAAAATGTCCTCTCCACAGAGTACCTAGAATGGCACATGAAAGTTTTGGTATTGTGCAAATTAAATTTAGAATTACTGTCTTGATAAAGTTGCAGAATTTCATGGGGTACACTAGAGATTCACTCAATAAGGGCAAGAAGAATTGAGAAAAAGCACACTACTTGTCACTATCACAATTGACACTGCAAGATAGGAGAAAAGGAGAAGAATGGAAAAAAAATAGCAATGTTAGTTCAATCATTATATAATTAGGACATAATATCATGTTTAGAAGTTAGTATCACATTGATTAGAAGTTGATAACGGAGTTAATGAAAAGAGGGAAAATTGAACATACTTAGAAATGCTACAAGATAATGTCCAGGAAAATAACATGATCTAGAATAAGGTCAATATTTCACCCTCAGGAAGGAGGTTGATTACAAGTTAGTGAAATTTTCCTGTGCTCTGAGAGAACAATAAAGTATGCATTAATTCTGCTTACAGCAGTAGCCTTTGTATGAGCTTTCATACATTTTCACTCATATGTAGTATTTCTTTCATAGGGCTATTTGATTGCAAGCAAAAAGAGTACAAGAGGTAAAATAGAAAACTTCAGAACCTAAATTCTTTTATGTGGGCTTGCTTTAATAGTAAATATATATATTTAAATATATATATATATTTAAAATACAAATTGGTTTAGATATAAAAGGTTCCTGCTCAGGCTCACCAACTACACATATTATATTAACCTAAATTAGCAATATGGGGAAAACAGTATATGCCTCCCTGGACTAAGATTGAATGCTAGCTAAAGAGTTTTACATCTCCAAAGATCTTTTCCTGACATAGTGTTCCAGACAGTTAAAACAAGAGATCATTACATTGTAACGTTGGCCCTAGAGAACAGGAGACATAATGTTGGCTTTTTTTTTTTTTTTTTGATCTGCAGAACTTTAACTGGAAACTTTCTAAGGGTATGGGACCAATCACTCATCATCAGAGAGAGCGACTCTACACACTTTCATCTGTTTTGCCAAAGCCATGCTATAACAGTCTCACAGAGGAATTCCCAGTTTCCTTTGCTAAAGCAGATGAAGTGGAACCGTATCTCTTAACAGAATACAGTGTGCAACAGCTTTGTTGTCAACTCACATTGCTGCAACAGGTACAAAGGACTGGGTTCACTTGGAAGTACAAATGATGCACATCCGATTTGGTACCGAACCTCCTTTCTTTACGAGCTTCCAATCCTACTTCAAGCTGAGTAGGCTTCGACTATCTAATCATACTTGGAATTATAATACTCCACTTTTCTCCAAGTCTCTACAGTAAAATCTAGAATGGTTAACTTGATTCATAGACAATGTTCCCTCTGATAAATTTTGTGAAGAAAATTCTGTCATTTTTATCCTCTAACGTTTTATAAGGATTGTTAGCTCTCAACAACAAGGTATATCTCATTCTTTTTTTTTGTTTGTTTTGTTTTGTTTTTTGTTTAGGAAGTGTTTCATAAATGCCATCCAGTACACTTTCTAAATTCAAGAGCACTTGGTGTTAAAGACAAATGTGTTGCTGTCCAAAAGTAAGTATATTGCTTCTTTCATCCATCCCTCTATTCTGTTGATGCACAGTAGTTCCTATCATGTTTAATGCAGCCAAGAAGAGAGAATTTTTTAAAAATGCTTTCTGTTTTTCCTCAGAGTAGATATTCCATTCACATACGTTTTTGAAATTTGGGAGATTTTATAATATAATATGTATATGTGTACATAGATGGAGTAGCTCAAATTTGTGATTTCTTTGAAATCTAAAGTAGATCAGGCTGAAATAATGGAGAGGATTTGTATTGTGGGATTGTGGAGGATTTATTTTGTGGGGAGAAAATAGTAATAATTTCTGAAGCGGCTACTTGACAACTACTCGCATATATAATCTCCATAACCATTCATTTTGTACTGTTGCAATTACTGATGTTTGCATATATAAGGATTTTCTTGTCATTTTTAGAATTAATAAAAACTGTAAGTTACTTTTTCAACTGTAATTGCTATTTTCATCCAGCCACAGAGGCTCTTAGCTGTAATGTAATTGTAATAAAAAGCCAATGGATTCTGCTAGCTTCTAATTAGTACTTGTTAATTATACCAAATAGACTTCTCTGTCTAAGGATAGGGAAAGTTCTTGTAAATCAGATGTTCTCATATGGGTTGTTGAATGACAGAGGCAAATTGAGCTGGTTTACACTCATCTGGGGCAGAGGCATGGGGAAAAAAACTGTGTGGTGCCCGTGGGTTGCAGGAGCAGAGAACAGTCACTGACCTGTTATTGAGTAGCATGGATGTAGCCTATGCCCTTTCAGGCTCAGTTTCTTATGTGGTTTCAATTTTTATTGCATTTGTTTTATGGTTATTATTTTTGTGTATTAGCTGTTTTTTGTTTTGTTTTGCTTATTTGTTCGTTTTTCCACTTGAACAAATTGTCTTTTCAGTGACTAGTGTGCAAGTGCAAAGCTGTCCTTTTATACAGAAGTATATGCAGCACATGCTTATCATGTAATTACATATGCTTGTCTTGTAATTTTATAAAAGTAACACATCTCACCACCTGCTTAAAAATAAAACTGACAGGTTATGTTAAGTGATTAGAAACTGACATTTTTCCTGGCAAATCTGCATTACATATTTTTGCCTTTTTCCCCATCTTTGCCACAGAGCTGTTTCAACTGAGGCAGTTAAAGTCTGCAATTTGTTTCTGTCAAAGTGCGTGCAAGACCAGTACCTTCTGCAGTTATTAAGAAATGCAGACAGCATCAGTACCTGGGTTGCAGCTGAAATTGTAACATGTCACACTTCTAAGGTTGGTCATGGTTTTCTTATATGATTAATTATGAAACTGTCGCCTCTTTTCTGTACCTGTCAGTGGACTGTCAGCAGTTTGGTTTATTGTTGCTAGGAGGGTCTGCTTGATGTTTTGTAGTAGCAGGTTTGAAAACTTAATAGAATATAAGAAATTAATTTCCTAAGGAGAAGGGAAGACAGACTTTAACAAGGACACCTCAGTGACAAAAAAATAGTGACAGAGGGATATATTACTGCGGTCAACAATTTTGATAAATTGAGTGAGGATGAATCTCTCTTTTCATCCTTGTCATTTAATTTTCTTATTTCAAATTGCTTTGTAGATTTATGCAGTAGCACATTCTAGGAGTAATTAGATTTCTGTCTGTCTAGTTACTATTTTGGTCAAAACCAAGCAGCTGTTGACTGTTGTGATTAAATGAAATTTCAGAACTGGCCACATCGCTTACATACCATCTTAATAGTTTACCACAAAGTCACCCCTTAAACTTAATGATTGATTCTTTGACTTCTTAACTGACCACTTGAGTAATATCTTAGTAAATATGTGTTTCTATGGCTGCTAGACTGCTACCAGATGATTCTGTTCTAATCAGTGTAGAAAAACCTAGGCCTGCACCTATCTGCAATTGTTTCTCTATTTCCAAAGGATCAGAGACTGAACCTCTCAATTCTGTTATGACATTTTCCATTGGATTATCTGCTGGGTTTTTATTGGACTTCCCAATTTATAGCATTTCTCAAAAACATATATGTGAAAGAAACTGTTCAAACTTTTTTAATAAATCCAGGGAGAATAAAATAATCCGCTAGAGTACATATAGAAGCTCACAGTTTGTTTTTCTGACAGCAGTGATTGTTCATATAAAGTCTGCATGCTTTGCTAACTCTTATAGGTATTTTACCATTCAGCAGACACTATATGAATGATTTTCAGTGAGTAATGTCATGTTAGTCCTTTCCTTTCTCTCTGCTGTGCCTCTTTCCAGCCTTGCAAGAGCAATAGAATCAAGAAATTACTAACAATAAGCAGGGGGCTTGAATTTTAGCACCTCCACTAGGCACTAAGGTGCAAGGTGTTTTTATTCCCATGAAATCAGTAGAATTACTTTCTAATTCCAAAATAAAGCAGTATACAGATTAAGCATTTTACTAGCAACTGACTGAATTTGATGGCTTTCAAACACACTAGAGCTCTAAAAAAAGGTGTATCTTAATATTTTTTTTTCCAGCTGCAGGTGAACTTGTTATCAAAATTTCTTCTTATAGCAAAATCCTGCTACGAACAAAGAAATTTTGCTACTGCGATGCAAATCTTAGCAGGCTTGGAAAATCTTATTATTCGACAGTTACCAGTAAGTGATATGTTTTGGGACTCTTATTTGTTACTATTTTGTAAACATATTTTGTTCTGATATGAAAAGTAATATGAAAAAAACAAACTATTTTTTGTTTTATTGGAAGGCATGGAAAATTTTACCTGCAAAGGTAGCTGAAATAATGGAAGAACTCAAGGCTGTTGAGGTATAGTACAAATTTTCAATTCAATATTTTTCACAAAAACATATTCTAGATGACTTAAAACAAAGTCTAAGCAATTTAGGCATTTTGTGGCTCTAATTTGTTTTGAGCAATCTTAAATGTTTGTTCTTATCACAGGCATTCCCCTTTGTAGTCCCCAACTATCTGATTTTGAATACCAGAATGAAATACTAAGATATTATTTTCTCCATGCAGTAGAAAGATCAAGAATTCTCTTTTGGAATATCTTTTGATTACAGTTACTTTCTTTAGTTCCATACTTTAAAATGTCTACTACCAGGTTAATCTAACATGTTATCTTCAACTGCAATGACAAAAGTTAAAATTAATTACAAATAAATATGTAGTAGTAAGAGCCTGCCTTGACATTAAACCTGAGTTTTGTCTGTGTACTATTCTAAAACAGGTATTCTTAAAAAGTGACAGCTTGTGTTTGATGGAAGGAGAAAGATTCAAAACACATCCAACAATTCCATCAGCACATGTTTTGGCTATGCATGTCCAACAACTAGAGACAGGAGGGTTCACAATGACAAATGGGGCTCACAAGTGGACTAAACTTAGGTGAGTATTTTAATTATATTTGTCACCTGAATTTTTAGAATAGAATATGGTCTATTGAAGTAATGAGAGGAAACACAACATTTCACATTAGCAGTTTAAATCATTGCAGCCACGTTGATATATAACTAAAGGGACGGATGTAAAACTGAACATTCCGGGCCTTTGAATTTAAAGTTTTATTATCAGCACTAAAAGCAAAGTAATCTTTTTTCCCCGTATTTTCTTTCAAGAAATATTGCAAAAGTTGTGAGCCAAGTTCATGCATTTCAAGAGAATCCCTATACATTTGCACCAGATTTCAAGCTGCAGTCTTACCTCAGACAAAGAATAACTCGTTTTAAAGATGCAGACATTTCTGCCTTGGCAGCTGACAACTGTGCCAACTTCCATCAGATACCAGCAGAAAAACATTCTCGAAAAATTCAGGACACGCTGCGCAGAATGAAGGCAACATTTCAATAATTATTTGTGTTTTGTCCATTCTATGCCAAATGTAAAATTGAATTACATTAACTACATCTTGTGGGCCAATTCTCAAGCAAATAGTTAAGTGAAATGAACTTCAGCATACTGTCTCAAGTTAAAACAGATATACTTCTTAACATGGAACTGTAAAACACCATCTTAATGAACTGGATTTCCTGGATGTCTTAGCAAAAAGAGAAAAATGAAGAGGGAGTATAGAAGAAAAGGATGACTCATTTTGTCACTGTTTTTAATCAGAAAAAAAAATAATTAGTCCAAAAACAAATGTGTAAGAAATATTATGGAAACTTAAAATTACAATTTCTGTTGCAAAGTAGGCCTAGGAGAGTTCAGTGTGTAGTTCATTAAATGTTGAATATATTTTTATATTAACATAGTATATTTGTACCCTGTCACAGTGTGCATATAATTCAGGGACACAGATACTCTACTATCCTCTGATTGCTGGTGGATTTTTCTTTTATGTTGTGTTTCATGAAAAACTGTATTTAAATAATTGGCCATCTTTTTCTTCAAGCATAGTAGAGAGGAGAGGAGTGCCATGCTGAAACATTTTGGTTTGGTTTTAATGCCATTAAACTAACCCATTCACAAATAAAATAAAATAATCCGAATCTAAATATTACCACTTTGTTGCTCTGGTTCCGCCTCCGTGGTCCTGTGAAGATGGCAAATGTGAAATTGCATGGTTTTGTCTGTACTTTGTGCAAGAGTCACTTTGCCAATTTGTGTAAGTGTGTAAGTGCACAATTTGGTTATAGCTTTTGCTCCCGAGTTTAAGTTTCTAGATTGTAGTGCTCCAGCAGCACTAATAAAGATAACTGTGTGTGAAATTTCAATCTGCATCTTGTAAAACTTTGGTGCTAGCATATATGTATACATATATATAGCATATGCTTACAAGACCGTTTAAATGGCAGTGAAATTGGATGATACAGGAAGTCGATTGAGTTACCCAGGTTTATGCAAGGCCAAGATTCTAAGCCTACAAGTTACTTCCAAATACAGGTATTTCTATCTAAGGGAACATAGTAGTTTTTGAAGAGAGGTGGGAAGAGCAAGCAGTAGATAAAATAAGCTCTGTCCTGAAAGTAGTTTGTTAGAATTGTATTTAAAATGAAGAAAATATATATATATATATGTTTTGGAAAAAGCAAATATGAACTAACTGCATCAGAATATTTTAGTGACGGGAAAGATAATGACATAAGAAATGGCAACGTGCACATCCATAGTGTTTTGCGAACTGTAGTATTGTGCTTGACAGAAATGCACGTGCACGTGTTAAATCGTAGCTTGCTCAGTGTTTAAGAGGAAAGCTTCTCCTTTTATCGATAATGGCAATGTATTGAATCACAGGCCTTTTGCTTCTCCTCTTTCTCAGTCAAACACAAGGTGTGCCAGTTCTTTCCATTAAATACCTCAGTTACTTATTCATGCTAATATATTAACAGCAGACTAACTTTTGTGCTGTCTTATTTGTTGAAATAACTGTAGAACTCAGTCCTCAGCAGGATTTTCTTGCACTTGTTCTGCTTTTAAGATGATTTATTTTGATACTTATATGTAAGTTTATCTTGTCATTAATTGTAGTATCCTGACTTACCCTTAGGAAGTTAAATGTTAAATTTCTCTAAAATTGCTAACTCTAAAAACACTTAATGATTACCTCCTATCTTTATGTAATACAGTGATGCAAGAATGTCATTGATAATGCTATCAAACATGAATTTCACATATTTGATCTATATACATTTATTCTGATTTATTTCTAATTATTTGATTTGCTTTCTCAAACAAAAATTTACCATTCACTTAAAGCCACGCCTTGCCTTTGAAAGACAGTAACATTTAAAGTAGCATAATCTTAACTAATGCAAAGAACTCCACAAAACTTTTTAATCACATAATTTTAGTAAAGGCATTTGATACAGTTGTCAAATGGTTGAATTTGTTTTTCTGGATTTACTTAGCATCACATTTTGCATACTTAGTTCATATTTTTGCAATTACAGTTTTAATCAGCATTTAAAACAATTACTACACTTAGAAAACATTTTATTTATTTTACGACAATAACTGGTGCTACTCAAGCATTTAGAATCATTTCTTACCTTCTGTATAATGCTTCAATGTATCAGACTTGGTATTGCTATAAATGCGTATGATTGCACTGCGGTATTACTTTGGGGTGTTCTCATCAATCAGATACATTTTTATATTTAGATACCATGCCACAATAACCATTAATGTAAATAGCTATTGAAAAAAAACCAATCTTTTACAAGAAAACTGGTCTGTTTTTGTCCATAAACACTGATGTATGCACCTCTTATATAATACATATTTCTGAATAAAGATATGTTTAGCATCTAACTGTTCTGTTTGTTTATAAGTAGCTTTCTTTCCTTGTGGGAAATGTCCTTTTGAAGGAAAACGAAGGACTACATTTGCCAAAGAACAAGTTTAGTATTATTTAGCTGTCAAGAGTTTATTGATGTCAGGATTGCCTATGTTCTACCCCATGTTCCCACCTCAATATCAAATGAGAACATTTTGGGGAAAAAAATGAGGTTTGTGCTTTAAACTGGAGCTGCCACTAGCTCTCCTATTTTTTCTCCATTTTCCTATTTCTTTCTCCATTTTATGCATCCATTATCTTATTGGGATCTTTTAATGTTGGTTATTTTTCAAAGTGACCCGTGGACTTTTTGAACTGAAATGAGTTCCTTGTTTTGCAGTTGACTCGATAACATTGCGGTTCTTCCTGCTTCCCTTCGCTGCTGTCTCTCCTCAGAATCCCTGGTGTTTTTAGGCCTCCTGATAGAGAGAGACCTGGGTGCTGCATCCTAGCTACACTACTTGCATGTGAAAGCTTTATATTTGGGTTTCCAGAACCCACAGCTCCAACACCTCCAGAAGCCTGCCAGGAAATGTGCCTGAATTCTGTTGCATCCTATGAGTCATTCCATAAAAGGCCACCCAGGAAACTGGAAAATATTTCATGAGTCAGCATAGATTCATGATTCTGACAAATCTCTTTGCTTGGAATCTTTTCAGACAGTTCTAAACTTTATATTTTTATCCATTCTTCCTTCTTTATGCATTAGATTTTTTTTTTTTTAAGTATTCCTGGTACTCTTTTATAACTCTTCAGAATCTTGTGTGTGATTTTCAAGTAATCCAACTGTTAAGAAATTTGCTTCTAAATAACAAACAAGCAAGCTATGGCTTGAGGGGAGGGAAGCCAAGGCAGAGCGGGAGGGAAGGGTTGATTGTTTGTTTTGCATTTTGTTTGTTTGTTTTCCTCAGTGGTAAAGATGTGATTGTTTCAGTCATTCATTTTAAAATAAAGAATGCAGGTAAGTTTGTTTTGTTTGTTCATTTTGTTTTCCTGCTTTCTTATACTTTCTTCAATACAATCCAAAGCACATATACTTTTAAAATATCTCTTTTAAAATATTTTCTTTCTCAAAGCATGTTTTATAAATAGTTACTTTAAAATCCTTCAAAATCTATTTTGACCTTTGGAAGGAATTTCTGAGACTTGGAAATGCTGATTTGAACACTGTTTTCAAGACTATGGCACATAAATCAAACTCAGACAATTATCAAGTTTGCAGATTCTTTGTTTATAATTTTATCATCATTTAGGTATCATTAAGATGTAAATATTATAAATCTAAGACATTTTCAGCTAGTATTCTTAACTCCTAGCACTATAACTTTTGTTTCACCATGATTTCATACTCTGACTCTCTGAAATATATGAGAGAATGAACAGTTCCACCTTGCTGATCTCTATTTAGAAGTTCATGCATTACAGAAGTTTGAAGGACTTTTCAGTTTTCATAATTTTGTATTTCTCCATGCAGGGAACTGAAAGAGCAAAAAACTTGAAGGTAAAAGGCCGAAAAAGACGACACCTTAGATGAGTGTACAGATCCACAGAAGATGTCAACAAAGCAACTTGGCTCTATAAAGGTAAATTGCAGGACAAAAATGGGATTCATCTGTTAAATATCACTGTAGGAAATGCACCGTCCTCTAAATTAGTTTATTTAGATAAAAGATAATTTGATCCAAAAGTTGAGACCTAGAGAAAGAAGACGTGGGGTACTGCAGCACTTATTGAACGCATGAGATCAGATACTTAGCAACTTACTAGACATCTTAGACTGCAAGCTAGACCATAGTGTGTGCAATTGCAAACATATTGGAGGGAACAAGCCCACATGGGAAGGAAAGATAAGGTGAAAGGATGCAAGATATTAAAATACTGTGTCATAAGCATGCATAGTTGTTTTAGACAGGCTTGCTTTCTCTGTCAAAATTAGAAGAGGAAAAGTGCCACAGTAGTGTCTGTAGCCAACATAAGAAGCAGGAAGAGAGCAAAGCCTTCATTTCTACAAAAATGGTTAATTTGAGTACAGGGAAAATAAAACTTTAATTATTCCAGATCTTCCAAAACATAATAGGACATAGGCAGTCTAATAAGTTTATAAAATAGGATGAAAATAAACTGTTCCATTAAAAAATGGTGAATATAAGTAGGAGGGCTGCTTTTTTAGACTTACTGTGATTAAAAGAGAAACCAGTTGAAAACGTAAAGGTGAAAAGCAATTAGGGTGAAAGTTACTGTGAAACAACAAAGTTCATGATTCTAAGGAAAGAAAGGAATGAGAGCAGCAGAATAACAACGAGGTTCAAGAAAACAACCTTCAATAGACTCAAGAAATTTCGTACATAAGATCCTGGGTCAAGGAATTTTGAGGCAAACAGAAGTCTACGAAAGCAGAGAGTTTCTAAAGAGTGACTGACTCCTAAAACAGCCCATATTTTAAGTATAACAACAGTCATTCCTCATGCAAAGGAAAGAAAATTGATAGAGCGGTGTGGCTGCACTAGGGCCTTGTAAGTGACCTGAAAAATCAAAAAAGAATGCTGTAAAAGTAGGAACAAGAGGAATGCATCAGCAAGAACAAGTATAAAAGAATAACACCGCATGTTAGGAATAAAAATGGACTGACAAAATGTTATGGCCAGCAGGGAAAAAGAAAAGTTATAAAAGTGGGTTCTTAAATACTTTTTCTATCATATAATGTTCTTTCTTTGCTTACAAGTAGAAGTGAATAAATATCAGTCA